GTCAGCCAGCTTGCATACCACTGGTCTAACTGCCTTGATCCTTTTGATCTGCTGCCTGTCTTGAAGAGCGCAATAGTGCTGATTGGAAATCAGAATGTTTGCAGGTTTGAGATCACGGTGAGCAACCTCAAGATAGTGAAGGTGGGACAGTCCTTTCGTGACTTCATTTGCAATCACCGGAATCAGGTGATCGAATCCACAATCTTCAGATTTGGTCAATGGTGCGATCTCCGACAAACCTTTATCCAAGGTATTAACTTTAACGTTTCTGCTGAAAGGCGCGAAATCAAAAACCACGTATTCCAGTACAATAGCAAGTGGATTCATGCAAATACCGTGCATTCGAACGATATTTTCGTGATGAAGCTCAGCCAGTAACGTGGCTTCCTTCATGAATAGCTTTCTTGCCGCATCACCCCTGGACACTGATTCGTGCATCACTTTCATCACAACTGGGTTGGTCACCCCGGGTTCATCGCAATGTGCTAAATAAACTGTTCCAAAAGTACCACGTCCAAGTTGTTTCTGGACATTCAGTTTTCTATAGTCTAATACATTGATTTCACCATCCATCTTGGGTGAGCCAGCTTGTTTCGGTTGACACCTAATAGCCCTATTCGTCAAATATTGATTTACCTGCAAAAAATGAAGGAACGTAGATAGTTTAAAGCACTGTTACATGAGGTATACTTTTTATGGAATTTGACTCGTCACTCGCCGAACACAGCGGAGACAACTTACTCAACGAATTTCACCAAACGGGATCAATTTGCTTACACAGGTTTCCTCAGTCGCTAATAATGTACTATTTGGTAGAGTATATTTTTGTTCCGGCTCAGAGATAAATTTCCAAATCATGTATGGCGCAGTCCCCCCGCCGATCGATTTACAATTGCGGTGGAGTTATGGAAAAAGTACATTCAACTGCTGCCCATACGTCCTATGCAAAGAGAAGAARAAAAAACCTCCTTTAAACCGGATTTGAAATAGCGACCAATGATAACAGACAACTCTTTCGTTCTCCTTCGTTCAATGAATCGGCGTCATTTGTCCACAGCTCACCTCAAAATAAAATTACCCACGTCCCAGTTTATTACGATAATTTTATTACGAGTTCTTCATTCGACACGTACAGCTAGCTTCAGCGACCTTTCTATTTCGTTATTGTAGTTTGAGTTATCTCTTTGGCCGGGATTTCACAAGAAAATTATGCAGCGCGTCAGATGTCAGTCACCAACTATTCAATTTTCTCTAGCTCATAATTTATGGCTTCTGTACCGAGGGTGACCACAATAAGTACGCTGCGTTTCTGAAGAACGGGTAGGTATTACTGAGAATTTAAGAGCTTAAGAGAATAAATATGCGTATGTCAATAAATATTAGAACTACCTGGGAAAATGCCTCGCACAACCGAAATGAAAGTCGGAAGAGTCCTTCAATTGCGGAAGATCTTCATTAGCAACCCTAAACACGATATATCCGGCGGAGAACGGTATACTAAAAGTACTTGCTAGCTTCGATCGTGGAATATTAAGCTTATAATATCAGTAGTAAAAGACGGACAGTTATTTCTAAGCGACCTTACCTACGAGCGGTTGGTGTGATGATGACGGATTCAGTTGTTTGCGTTTAGTGGTTCTGTTTCCACGTCAATGCTTGCGTCGCTTCTCAGTCTCGTTGAGGCAAGCTAGAAAGCGGACGTCATTTTGTCAAGATATTGTCGATGGCTATGGCATATAAAACAAAAAAACAATT